CACATCATTGCTGCGTGTGATGTGGATGCCGTCGGTGTTGGGACTGGTGCCGGGCGCCGTGATCGACAGGTCTGTCAGCTGCACGCCGGTGCAATCCTCAATGGACACGTGGATCTGCTGGCTGTCGACAACCTTCAGATCCTGCACTCTCAAGCTCGTACAGAAGTGGAACGACAGCGCCGTTGGGGCTTCCTTGCACGGCTGCATGCATGCAAAAACGAGTTGAGCTGGTCAGGACATACGTACACTTGCTTTTTTGCAACAAAACTTTACGTACGATAAATAAAGGCATGCACGTACGAGAGCCTTGTTGATCTTGCACGAGTTCTTCCACCACGTCTCGCCGTTGCCGTCGACGGCGCCGCCGCCATTGACGGTGAGCCTGTCGACCTGACGGAACACGATCCAGTGCCGCCGGTCCTCGTCGCTCCAGTCGGACCGGTTCGGCGACGCCACCAGCGTGCCCTTCACGGTCACCGTGACGCTGGACTTGCACGGGCCATGGAGAGTGACGAGCTTGAGCAGGTAGCGCTTGCCGCCAGGGACGAGCAGGACGGACGGCCGCGGCGAGGTGCACGCCGCGTTCCACGCCTGGGCTAGCGCCTGGGTGTCGTCGTGGCTCCCGTCGCCGCTGGCGCCGTAGCGGTCGAGGTTGAACACGCTCTGCGACGCCGCAGCCAGCGACCTGCGGCCCGTAGCTGCAGCTGCACCATCGGCAGAGGAGCCGATGGAGCTCACGGAGGAGGTGCTGGTGCCTGTTCCCGCAGCAGCCTCAAGGGCGCCGGACAAGAAGAGCAGCGTGAGGAGTAACGGCCACAACACAAGCTGAAGCTGCGGCTTGTTTGTTCGGGACGCCATTGTTGACAGAGCTAACAAGCACGAATGCATGCACGATCGACGACGACGACAGGTAACTATATATACTTAGCAGCTAGCAGCAGCTTAATCGATCTCGGCCTGGTTATGAGCAAGGTCACAGGAGACTTGTTTGATGAAATGCCGAATAAGCTAGCTAGAGCTATCTGGACTGGTTGCTTTGCTTGCTGGGCTTGGTGTGTGATTGGGGTGTGTGATTGGATGTTAATTGAGCATGGATCAGCCTCAGCTCACGGGGCATATTTATACTAGTCGCTGGAGCCTGGATTCTTGGAGTTGGAGGCGAGGGGGATAAAGGAAAGGGGTTGTGCACGTTGACTGTTGCGTGTGTGAAGAAGAATGAGCTAGGCTGCATGGCATCACATCGTCATGGCAGGGTTGTTAGGCCCGTTGGCAGATTAGAGATATATGCGTGCAGGTAGAAGAAAGGATTATAGATTCTCCAAGCATGGGAAGCAGATCTATAGATGTACCTGAATATAACCACGTTTCCATGCATGTTGGTTCCTACTAGCTCAGTGCCTCATGGTGGAAAAAAGTCACGTGCAGCTTATTAATATGGTAAATATGTATAACACTCGAGTGTTCTCTCCTTCTCTACACTCGATTCTTCTCCCTCTGATTCTTCTCCATCGATCTCTGGCCTCTTCCCCCTCTTCGTCTCCAACTCCGACAGACTTAGAAGGGGCTCGGGGGAGGTAGGCTGGCCAGGCGGTTGGGACGGCGGGTGGGCGGCGTTAGGGTTCCAACAGCGTGGAAGATGCGGTCGGGCTAGGTCGGAGCGGTGGCGCCCATGGCCACGGCGGCGACACGAGGGGAGAGGGGAAGAAGGAGGCCGCCACGGACGCAGTAGGGTCTTATCAGAGCTCCACGGCCACGGCTGGCCACGAAGCTCCGACGAGACCCTACCGCGCCGCAGCGGGGTGGTGGGCGGTGGGCGGTGGGCGGCGTCGGCGCGTCGGGAGGAGGAAGAAGACGGTGAAGAAAAAAATCGAGTGTTCTGACACTTGTGAGCAGCATAGACGGCAGATTCTATTAATATCGCTTCTCCAATATTTTAGGTGTCCAAATTTTTTTGGTTATTGTTGAGACAACATGTAATTTTGTCATTATATATTTGACTATAGAAAAGAATTACAACATATCCCCTGTGAGTTGTTCTTTTAATTGTCTACTAAGGGCCTGTTTAGTTCCACCCAAAATCCAAAAAAATTTGTGCAGTATCCATCACATCGAATCTTGCGGCACATGCATGGAGTCCTAAATGTAGACGAAAAAAAACTAATTACACAGTTGGGTGAGAAATCGTGAGACGAAACTTTCGAACCTAATTAGTCTATAATTAGACACTAATTGCCAAATACAAACGAAAGTGCTACGGTAACCAAAACCAAAAATTTTTGCCGACTAAACGGGCTCTAAGATTATGTATGCAAGTCCATATCAATACGGGCATGAATGTGAGCGTCCGAGATCCTCTGTGGCGTGGACACATACGTCAGTTCATATGCACACGTAGCTAGGAGCGTGTCGTCGTTGTGATTGAGGTGAACGAACAACGAAGCCGGCACGTCGTTGTCAGTTCATAGATCTTCGTCATCAGCTGACCACGTACGTACGTACAGGCAGTTTAATCGAGCGGATGAGCTGTTGCCGCGTGACCTTCCGTGCTCCCAACTCTATCCCCTCTCCGTCACACACAAGTTGAGACGAACGACGTTGCTGATCGGTGGTAGCTAGCTATAGGTAGGCAGATAGATACCTCGAGATGTACGCCATGGCCACGACGCATGCACGTGCTGCATGTGCATGTGAACATGTGGTCGCTCTCCATCGACGATGCCGGCCGGCGTTTTTTTTTAACAACAAGTAGTGGCGGATCCAAAGGGGGGGCTGGGGGGCTCCAGCCCCCCCTAATTTCTTGATTTCAATGCTAATTACTGTAGCAAAAGCTTGATTTCACCGTTAAATCTTCATGCAAATCAACATCTCTGTTGTTTTAGCCCCCCCTTATCCCGCATCCCACATCCGCCACTGACAACAACCTTTATTATATAACGTTAATATAGTACAGAGAATTCCCATATAACGTAGCATAGATAAGAAAAAGCTACTGTTGATCTGCTTCTGTAGATATAAGTGTTGCTTCCGTTGGGGGCATGAGGCCCATCGGGGCCACAGGGCCCACAAGAAGTGGCCACGATAGAAACATCGAGGGTCCTCGTTCTCGCACTCAGATAGAACAGTCGGCACTCGCCTCGACTGTCTGATCGGCCTGTGTCTTCGAGGATAAGTATTCTTAAGCTATAGATAGAATGGAGGCTTCACCCGACTTAAAAAAAATAGATCCACAGCCAACAATGCCAAATCTGCCAACCTGCTTGAAAAAAACTCAAGTTTGACGGTCTACCGAACACCGATAGCTGCTTTACCAGAAAAAAAAAACAGCAGATTTACGAAGCAAAAGGATTTGTTGTTCATGGTCAACACCGGAAGAAAACTGTGGGCCATGATGAGGAGGGCACGTGTCGAAGGCTGACGGCAGAGGGAGCCGCGCCGTCCACGGAGTTGCTGCTGCATGCCTACCCATCTCCAAAAAAGCGGGCCCACACTGCAGGGATAAGCCCCACGTCAAGACCGCCGGGTCACACCACAGAGGGGATCACGGATGGCGTCTGGTGAGGCCGCCCCCACCCACACGGATCTTCTGCGGCAAGCAGCATGAACCGATGGCGGAAGGGCGCCGCCCCGTTGCCGTCTCCTGCGTGGTGGCTTTCGTGTCCACCAATTCGCCTTCGCCGGTTGCCGTAAAGGAGAGCTCCCGCTGGAGTCTCCACGAGGAGCAGCCAGAGGCACGCCCTCGCCGAGTCCATCGGAGTCCTCGTCGCGTCCGTATAGACGAAGACTGGGATCGACGAGGATGGGAGATCCGCCAAGAAAGCAACGGAGGGAGCTCACGCCGGCCGCCATGGCCGCTGAATTAAACGTGCGCACGTACGTCTTCTAGCTAGCAGCTTCACGTACGTACGAAAAGTGGAAGCTGCCGTACCCGTACCGCGCGCCAAGAAGAATCGTACGTGCTCGCTCGCTCCCACGTAACCGCCGACGTGCCGTGACAGCGGGGACCAACATAAATGTTGCTGTGGCTACGGCGGTTTATTAACCGTTGCCGAGGGCCGCAAGGCTTGGCCTGGCCGGCAAGCGAAAGCGACCCAAAACGCAAAGAAAAGAGAAGTCCGATGACTGAAATGCACTTTGATTTTTTTTTGAGGCGTTGCACTTTGATACTTTACGAACGAAACTGGGCCCAATGCAAAATGTAAAGCTTAAGGACTAAAAAGGTCACATTATTGATAGTCTATGATGAAATTGCGCCCAAAAATTTTTTTTGAGGATTGAAACGGTCATTTTAAAAATTCAGGGACGAAATTGAGCCTTAGACGATAACTGGGGAACCAAAATAACTATTTCACCGTTTATATATGTTAATAATATATATAAAGCTCTCTCTTTTAATTAAAAAAAGGACATGCTGAAAAGCTTTCGTGATAAGCTTGTCTATATAAAATTATGTCAAAAACTATATTGAGGAAAATACGATAAAAGGCAGTCGTGATAATTTTATTTATAAAACTATGTCAAAAAGTTGTATTGAAAAAGTTGCTACCTGCTAACAAATGTTGCTAACATAAAAAAGAGCTCTAATTGATTAAAAAAACATGTCAACTTGTAACCTAGCTTATAGCCTATTTTGAATTGTTTAACCACTCTATTTATAAAAAGCTATTAGTTGGTTTTAATTTCCGGCCACTGTAGTTCATAAAAAGTTTAGCTTATCTAAACAGAGTCTTAGTTTTATTTAAAAAAACACTTTTGACGGTCTTTTGAAGATGTTCATAGGAATAGTATATATGTGTTCACAAAGATAAATATGCGTGATGTGTGCATTTAGAAAAAAAATATGAATATATATGATTTTTTTTTAAAAAAAAGTACCACGCCAGTGCCGGTTGTGCTTCTAGGGCGCTCGCGGGAGCCGGGGGACGCAGCAGGATCTCCGCGAAGGTGTCCGTGCCTCCGTGGGGAGGGTTCCAGCCCAAGAGCCCAAAGTGCAACCAGAATGGTCAGGACCGTGCAAAGCTGGACTTGCACGGGCCATGGAGAGTGACGAGCTTGAGCAGGTAGCGCTTGCCGCCAGGGACGAGCAGGACGGACGGCCGCGGCGAGGTGCACGCCGCGTTCCACGCCTGGGCTAGCGCCTGGGTGTCGTCGTGGCTCCCGTCGCCGCTGGCGCCGTAGCGGTCGAGGTTGAACACGCTCTGCGACGCCGCAGCCAGCGACCTGCGGCCCGTAGCTGCAGCTGCACCATCGGCAGAGGAGCCGATGGAGCTCACGGAGGAGGTGCTGGTGCCTGTTCCCGCAGCAGCCTCAAGGGCGCCGGACAAGAAGAGCAGCGTGAGGAGTGACGGCCACAACACAAGCTGCAGCTGCGGCTTGTTTGTTCGGGACGCCATTGTTGACAGAGCTAACAAGCACGAATGCATGCACGATCGACGACGACGACAGGTAACTATATATACTTAGCAGCTAGCAGCAGCTTAATCGATCTCGGCCTGGTTATGAGCAAGGTCACAGGAGACTTGTTTGATGAAATGCCGAATAAGCTAGCTAGAGCTATCTGGACTGGTTGCTTTGCTTGCTGGGCTTGGTGTGTGATTGGGGTGTGTGATTGGATGTTAATTGAGCATGGACCAGCCTCAGCTCACGGGGCATATTTATACTAGTCGCTGGAGCCTGGATTCTTGGAGTTGGAGGCGAGGGGGATAAAGGAAAGGGGTTGTGCACGTTGACTGTTGCGTGTGTGAAGAAGAATGAGCTAGGCTGCATGGCATCACATCGTCATGGCAGGGTTGTTAGGCCCGTTGGCAGATTAGAGATATATGCGTGCAGGTAGAAGAAAGGATTATAGATTCTCCAAGCATGGGAAGCAGATCTATAGATGTACCTGAATATAACCACGTTTCCATGCATGTTGGTTTCTACTAGCTCAGTGCCTCATGGTGGAAAAAAGTCACGTGCAGCTTATTAATATGGTAAATATGTATAACACTCGAGTGTTCTCTCCTTCTCAACACTCGATTCTTCTCCCTCTGATTCTTCTCCATCGATCTCTGGCCTCTTCCCCCTCTTCGTCTCCAACTCGGGGGAGGTAGGCTGGCCACGCGGTTGGGACGGCGGGTGGGAGCGTGGAAGATGCGGTCGGGCTAGGTCGGAGCGGTGGCGCCCATGGCCACGGCGGCGACACGAGGGGAGAGGGGAAGGAGGAGGCCGCCACGGACGCAGTAGGGTCTTATCAGAGCTCCACGGCCACGGCTGGCCGCGAAGCTCCGACGAGACCCTACCGCGCCGCGGCGGGGTGGTGGGCGGTGGGCGGTGGGCGGCGTCGGCACGTCGGGAGGAGGAAGAAGACGGTGAAGAAAAAAATCGAGTGTTCTGACACTTGTGCGCAGCATAGACGGCAGATTCTATTAATATCGCTTCTCCTATATTTTAGGTGTCCAAATTTTTTTGGTTATTGTTGAGACAACATGTAATTTTGTCATTATATATTTGACTATAGAAAAGAATTACAACATATCCCTTGTGAGTTGTTCTTTTAATTGTCTACTAAGATTATGTATGCAAGTCCATATCAATACGGGCATGCATGTGAGCGTCCGAGATCCTCTGTGGCGTGGACACATACGTCAGTTCATATGCACACGTAGCTAGGAGCGTGTCGTCGTTGTGATTGAGGTGAACGAACAACGAAGCCGGCACGTCGTTGTCAGTTCATAGATCTTCGTCATCAGCTGACCACGTACGTACGTACGTACGTACAGGCAGTTTAATCGAGCGGATGAGCTGTTGCCGCGTGACCTTCCGTGCTCCCAACTCTATCCCCTCTCCGTCACACACAGGTTGAGACGAACGACGTTGCTGATCGGTGGTAGCTAGCTATAGGTAGGCAGATAGATACCTCGAGATGTACGCCATGGCCATGACGCATGCATGTGCTGCATGTGCATGTGAATATGTGATCGCTCTCCATCGACGATGCATATATAACGTTAAAATATAGTACAGAGAATTCCCATATCACAGAGCATAGATAAGAAAAAGCTACTGTTAATCTGCTTCTGTAGATATATGTGTCGCTTTCGTCGGGGGCACGAGGCCCATCAGGGCCACAGGGCCCATAAGAAGTGGCCACGATAGAAACATCGAGGGTTCTCGTTCTCGCACTCTGATAGAACAGTCGGCACTCGCCTCGACTATCTGATCGGCCTGTGTCTTTGAGGATAAGTATTCTTAAGCTATAGATAGAATAGAGGCTTCACCAGACTTAAAAAAAATAGATCCACAGCCAACAATGCCAAATCTGCGAACCTGCTTGAAAAAAAACTCAAGTTTGACGCCGAACACCGATAGCTGCTTTACCTGAAAAAAAACAGCAGATTTACGAAGCAAGGCCTGGTTTAGATTCGAGTTAGCAATAAGTATTTGGCACCGTAACACTTTCGTTTGTATTTAACAATTATTGTCTAATCATGGCCTAACTAGGCTCAAAAGATTCGTCTCGTAATTTACAATTGAACTGTATAATTAGTTATTTTTTTATCTACATTTAATATTTTATACATGTGTCTAAAAATTTGATGTGGTGGAGATAGAGTGAAAAAACTTACGATCTGAACAAGGCCCAAAAGATTTGTTGTGCATGGTCAACACCGGAAGAAAACTGTGGGCCATGATGAGGAGAGCACGTGTCGAAGGCTGACGGCAGAGGGAGCCGCGCCGTCCACGGAGCTGCTGCTGCATGCCTACCCATCTCAAAAAAGCGGGCCCACACTTCAGGGATAAGCCCCACGTCAAGACCGCCGGGTCACACCACAGAGGGGATCACGGATGGCGTCTGGTGAGGCCGCCCCCACCCACACGGATCTTCTGCGGCAAGCAGCATGAACCGATGGCGGAAGGGCGCCGCCCCGTTGCCGTCTCCTGCGTGGTGACTTTCGTGTCCACCAATTCGCCTTCGCCGGTTGCCGTAAAGGAGAGCTCCCGCTGGAGTCTCCACGAGGAGCAGCCAGAGGCACGCCCTCGCCGAGTCCATCGGAGTCCTCGTCGCGTCCGTATAGACGAAGACTGGGATCGACGAGGATGGGAGATCCGCCAAGAAAGCAACGGAGGGAGCTCACGCCGGCCGCCATGGCCGCTGAATTAAACGTGCGCACGTACGTCTTCTAGCTAGCAGCTTCACGTACGTACGAAAAGTGGAAGCTGCCGTACCCGTACCGCGCGCCAAGAAGAATCGTACGTGCTCGCTCGCTCCCACGTAACCGCCGACGTGCCGTGACAGCGGGGACCAACATAAATGTTGCTGTGGCTACGGCGGTTTATTAACCGTTGCCGAGGGCCGCAAGGCTTGGCCTGGCCGGCAAGCGAAAGTGACCCAAAACGCAAAGAAAAGAGGAGTCCGATGACTGAAATGCACTTTGATATTTTTTTTGAGGCGTTGCACTTTGATGCTTTACGAACGAAACTGGGCCCAATGCAAAATGTAAAGCTTAAGGACTAAAATGGCCACATTATTGATAGTATATGATGAAATTGCGCCCAAAAATAAATATTGAGGACTGAAACGGTCATTTTAAAAATTCAAGGACAAAATTGAGCCTTAGACGATAATTGGGGAACCAAAATAACTATTTCACCGTTTATATATGTTAATAATATATATAAAGCTCTCTCTTTTGATTAAAAAAAGGACATGCTAAAAAGCTTTCGTGATAAGCTTGTCTATATAAAATTATGTCAAAAACTATATTGAGGAAAATACGATAAAAGGCGGTCGTGATAATTTTATTTATAAAACTATGTCAAAAAGTTGTATTGAAAAAGTTGCTACCTGCTAACAAATGTTGCTAACATAAAAAGAGCTCTAATTGATTAAAAAAACATGTCAACTTGTAACCTAGCTTATAGCCTATTTTGAATTGTTTAACCACTCTATTTATAAAAAGCTATTAGTTGGTTTTAATTTCCGACCACTGGGGTTCATAAAAAGTTTAGCTTATCTAAACAGAGTCTTAGTTTTATTAAAAAACACTTTTGATGGTCTTTTGAAGATGTTCATAGGAATAGTATATATGTGTTCACAAAGATAAATATGCGTGATGTGTGCATTTAGAAAAAAAATATATGAATATATATGATTTTTTTTTTTTAAAAAGTACCACGCCAGTGCCGGTTGTGCTTCTAGGGCGCTCGCGGGAGCCGGGGGACGCAGCAGGATCTCCGCGAAGGTGTCCGTGCCTCCGTGGGGAGGGTTCCAGCCCAAGAGCCCAAAGTGCAACCAGAATGGTCAGGACCGTGCAAAGCTGGACTCCACTAACTCCAGACAAATTCAAGCTGGACTGTGATTGGGCCTCTCCCAGCTAATATCATAGTCTCGGCTTAAGTGTTCAAACAATACCATTTCGTTCGGTGGCTATCATGAGTGTTCAAACAATACCATTTAGACAGGCAATTTGAGCAATTATGTGCTGAGATATTTATATATGTGCTTTATTTTGGGCAGGTGTTGTTGTTGGTCAAATGGTCGTGGGCAGGAAAATAGCAGGACAAACTAAATTTTGCAAACCGTAGTCCATGGGCCATGACTATGAAATATGAATGCACGTAATTGGCATTACTATAGTTAAAGGGTTCAAGGTATCAGTAACGTTTTTATTGAAAAGAAACAGTGCATGATTCAATCACTAATATACTGTACTATCGTTGTTCTTTAATTATATCCTGAGTGACAAATCTACTCTAGCTTCTAATTCAAAACTGTACATAAATCTCAGCAGACAGCAGTGAAAAGGCAAGATTTGGTTGTCCTACACAGCATTGAACTGACTCTATTGACGTTTGTAGTTTTACCGATCTACTCCCACCGTCCTAAAAAGAACGTAACCTATATGCTCAATTCAGTTAGTTTACAAGTCATATAAGATCGACTGCTTGCGTTGGTCGTTCTGACAATGTGACTCCTTCACTGAACCGGCTTAATTAGCTAGGTTTATTATGTACTACTACGCAGCGAATTGCATCATCATCGACACGTTGATATATGTTGCTTCCGGGCGCATTATATGCAATGGTTCGGTTCCACAGATGCCTAACTGAATTTTGTCACTGCCGAGGGGGCCCTAATGCTCCAACCTTCATGGAGTCCACTCCACAGAATCAGATGGACTTGACCTTACTTGCCATGCTATGCCAATTGCAACCAGCGAGGAAACAGATTCGAGAATTTTTGTCATGAAAAACCTGCAACCTGGAGGTGGACTGGATTCAGCCATTAATTCCGGCACATTTATCTCCTTGTGATCATGCCGGAAGGATCTCATGGCCGGATCCATCGATACCAGCACGCATGGGCATGGCGTGGCTGCAAGCATGCACACACATATCTGCCAACCAAACT